ACCATCGGCGACACAATTAGTGTTTAAATAGACGAGGTTTGTTAATTATACGGTAATGGACTCTGACACCGGCAGAACGAAACCCTGTTCTATGAGTCTTAATTAATGGCGAAATCCCCGTCTGGGTTCTGGGGCCCTACTCTGAGGAAAACATGAACAGACCCACTGCTCCCCAACAAGCATGTCGCAAGATATGAGACTGATTGGAGGCTTCTTTTGAAGTCGGACTGCATCTGCTTGAGAGGCAAGGAAACAACAATCTGCACACTAATAAGTCAGACGTGTAAAAGGGATGTGCATGCACCACTCTGGTTCTGAAACAAGACTGCAGTCCAGAGGTGGACGAACAACTTAAACTTTCTGTCGAAGTTTACAGCCGGTGAACGCGAAAAGGAAGAATTAATGTCAATACAGCGCTTTGCAATTATTATATACGTTGTATATAAAGTCGCAGTAGTGAGTTTGCTTATGTGCATTTACAACTGTGCAGGTTCAATTTTCGACAGAGTTCAGATTATTTATATGCCACTTGTGGGGCTCTTGGATCAACCCGGCTTCATTAAACAGGTTCCAGGCATATATCATAATTTTTTAGGAAACGAAAGATAATAAAGAAAGGAAGGAACTGGCCACATCATCTCATACGTCGTGGCCTAGAGTATATGAAAGTCTAACAGTTCATAACTCACAGTAAGGGACTAACTTCAGATTTTTACAGCTGAACAATTTAAACAGAAGCTGTAATGTAGACCACTTTTGTGATGGGAGTTATATGTAGGACCTGGAAAGGAGTAGACTCGGAACTAACAATCAATTGTGATACAGTAACTGTCCGTTCTGTTATGGGCCGTGCCCCCACAAAACGTCCACATGGCACCCTAATGACCCGGGAGTTATACTGCTGACGCCAAATCAACATGAACTCTACAGTTTTTAATGTATTTGCTAGTGTTGTATTTCGGTTTCCACTTTAGTGACCAATTAGTCTTTTTTAATCTTAGCCACATATTGTGGTAGTCTGATCAGGTCTGTCAAAATAAGGTATGGCTGTAAACGGCTATGACGGCGATTAACCATGTCAGCACAACCACCCAGATCAAAAAAAGCAAACATGACAAACTCTAAGTGGTCCTCATGTCCCACGTCATCACACAATCGTCAAGATGTCTTAGTGGTTAACAAGATGACATTCAGAAAACGGAATGTGGCCAAAAAGAAGCTATGTTCGTTTGTGCCCATCTGGCTGTATAAGCGCCGGCAACAGGAGGTAGAAGAGAGCCATACCTATTGCAACTGTCGTCTCCGATGTTCCTGTGCTTCTTCATCATTTCTTCCTCCTCTTCTCCAACATATTCTTTCCCTCAACCAGAAGTTTCAACAACCGAATATGATTTTAGTCATTTATATTTATAGCTGTGTGGCCCAGTAGTGTTAACATCTTGTCCTAATCAATGAGGTAGCCCAATAATTTCTTTGTTCATTTTGCATTAGAATGATTCTATGACTAACTTGGAAGGCAATAATGACTAGCTTGGGGGAAACATGCTTTACAGCAGTGTTCTTCAACAATTGGGCCATGGACCACTGAGGGGCCATGGAAAAGTCCAGGTAGGCCGCCCCCCCCATTTCTGCCTAGTCATGAGATGGGGTAGGGCATAAAGTTTTTCCCCTCTTCCAGGATTTCAGTCCGTGGGATTACCACCTCAAGGATGAGAATCAAAAGATGTGGAATCCGCTGAAAATTTTAATTTTGTGCTATTGAATTTAACAAATAAACTGCTTTCTACATTTTTTAGTGTTTCTGAGTTTGGTTAGCTGTCAGGTGGACTGAAACAATTTCCCTTGTTTTAGTGGGACACAGGTGCAAAAAAGGTTGAGGAACACTGCTTCAGAGAGAATGTGTTGATGAAAGTAACAACAGTGTGGGATTGAAAAAATTAGGGAATAATCAAGAATATTAGACTATAGTTTGCTGGCTAGACAGCATACACGGAGTAATATGATATGTATTCAACTCAATTTATATCGCAGCCTAAATATACAGGCACACTAGATGAAATAATCCAGTCATGTGTTTCCATATTTCAAATGACACACCTGAGTTATGCGTGTAAATCCCTTCCACAGACCTGGCTCATATGTATGCAGACTGGTGGTTCCTTGCCTCTCAACTTTGAATCAAATATTCATAATTAATCAACTCTGACAATATGCTTGTTATGGGGCAGTTGATTAATTTTTGTCCCCCACAACAACCCACACAGGAAAATCAATTATAGAAAAAAAGTTTACCCAAAGTTTTCAAAATTAACAATCAACAAGAATGCATAATTTGATTAAATGTTCTTACTGCCACCTGTATAATGCACTTTATCTAGAGCAGTGCAGGGGTAGTGGGAGTGTGAGTCTGAGATTTATGGCAGTATGGCTAGTGTAGTTAGTCCCCACAGACTGCAGGTTATGATATTTATTTTGCCTTACTTTAATTTGCTAATTTGATCTGCAAAATAAATATAAGAAAAAACAGGTGCAATTAGGAAAGCTATCAATCTAATGAAGGAGGGGAAGGTCAAGGGTCCAGATGATAACCCAGCAGAACTTATTAAGGCTAATTTAAATACATCTACAGAATTGTTTCACTAATTATGCAGTTATGTTGGGAGACTGTTGGAAGAAATACCAGCAGACTGGAAAAAATGAGATTTTGTGGAATGCTCCCCCACAAAAGATGACCTGCAGAAGTATGAAAACTATACAGGAATGATGTTGCTTTAGTTGAAAAATATTAGACAGAATTAGAAGAGAAGACAAACAATAGAGTACTTCAACTTATTCTGTCCCAAGAATTTATTTGCAAACAACATTATTATGGGACAAAGAGATATGTAATAATCTGATACTTCTATCAACTTCAATGCATAATGGGCACTACCAAAATACAGAAGACTGCAGCAGCTGGCTGGAAGTGAGGATAATGACAGGGCAAAGACAAGGTAACAACTAGAACACAGTCCGCAAAAGTAATAAATATCTGCCGCTGGAAAGCAAGGAAACAATAGTGTTTCGGTTACATCAGGAGTAAGTGTCAAACATGTTATCAGATATTCACTACTTTTCAGAAGGCAATACAAAACTCTTTTATGGTATGAGAAATTAAGACTTCAAAGTCACCCACTGCATTTTAAATTTAAAGAAAGAACAAAAAACAGACTGAAGCGTCAGAGTCTCAACCACCTTGCTAGAGAACTGTACAGACAGTACCAAGATCTGCTTGAAAGAGATACTGCACTGTGCGAAAAGTTTGGGCCAAAACCATGGACAAGCAAGCCAGAGAAGGCAAATGTAGTCCTAAAGGTACCAGTGATCACTTCAAAAGATGCACAGACGGAGACACAACAGAGAACTCTGGCTCTTGCTATGCTTGATGAGAAGTATTACAACACAACTTGGACTCACTGACGGCTCTACTACAGATGCAGTCAGAACAGGGGAGCTGTGGAATATACATTAAACACCCTAGCAGTAGAACAGAAACTCTCTCTCTCTACCAGCAGGTGATATCTGCACTAACTTCAGAGCTGAGGCAACTGCCCTCCTTTCTGCAGTCCAACATCTCATCACTCAAGAACAAAGAGAGTGCAAAATTGTTTTACTTAGTGACTGACTGTCTGTTCTCCAAGCACTATCTAGCAAAAAACAAGACAAATCAATTGCAGATCTAAGGACCAACATTGGCTTACTTTCCAAAGGAAACAGAACTGGCCTTGCAGTGGATACCAGCCCACTGTGGTATTCAAGGAAATGAGAAAGCAGATGAGTTGGCAAAAGCTGGAAGCAATTGTCCACAACCTCATCCTCCACACAGCTACAAGGAAACCAAAACACACTAAAGCAGTCTTTCAAGCGGGAGTAGAGAAGGCAGAATGGAGATTACAGACCAGAGAGTGACAGCATAAACAAACAAAACAGAAAAAACGAACATAAATTTTTATACTTCAGAAAGGACACTGTGGTCTTCGAGCACATCTGCACAGGACAGGTATAAAATAATCTGCTGCCTGTAGTTGTGGAGCAGGAAGACAGATCCCTGAGCTCGTACTGCAGGACTGCCCTAACTTCTCCCAGCAAATACTGTACATCTGGCCCAAGGGAGCTACATTGCAAGAGAAGCTATGGGAGACCGGTGGCGAACTTGAACGCACAATCCTATTTATGACCCAGTCAGGACTCATTGTTTAGCATAACTGATGTTGAACGCAAAAAAAGCAATATTTACTACATTTTATATATATATAAATGTACACACACACATATATATACATAAATTTGGTCAGAGCGCATCTGCCTTAGAGCTAAGGAACCAACAGTCTGCTTACAAATATGCCAGATCTGGAAAATGGATACACATGAAAAACTCAAGACCAAAGCTCAGTTATGGACAAACAACTAAAACTTTCTGCACCCGCTAAGAAGAAAAAAGACCATATGTTTGTCAGTTTCAACCAACACAGTGTACTTTTCGAGACTCTCTGTGATGCACCTAGTAGTTACACTTACCCACATTGATCCAATTCTTAATACTCCTTCCATCCCATAATGCTTTTATTTTAACTATTTATCTTCAATCAATTTTAAAGTGATTATCAGCGACAAAGTGGTTATGCCCTTTGCTGTGAGCTTCAAAGGTCGTGGCTTCGTTTCATGGATGTGTCTTTCAGTTCCAAGGTGCAATTTTCATGGAGACGTGTCACTAACAGTAATTTGTGTTTTGTTGCAATGTTCTTGGCAGGTGATTAGCCATTCTACGATATGGGACAAAAACCCTGGTGCATTTAAATCACATCTCTCACGTTAACTTTAAAGTGATAGATTCTTAGAACTGAATGAGTTAATATAACATCTGTTTGGTACTATAATAAGAAATTGACAATGATGAGAAATAAAACAAGAAAATAATCCACACAACACGTTAGAAATAAAATAGGGAATTCTGTACATACCTGAAATAACAATGCATGTATCCCTCGCTTGCCTTTTCATGGTTTTATGTGCATTGTCAGCTAAGGCAAAAATATGAGGAGGCCTCTCATAAATTTCTCTGTCTTTATATTGCTGAACATAAGAGCTGTTATATATATCCACTTCTCTGTATGGGTTTACTGATACAACCACTTCTCCAATGTATGTGTAGATACGACCTTTCTCAAACCTGAATATTAAATTTATAAACAGTCAATTATACATCTATCGGGGAATGGAGGGATGTAGTCACAAGTAAAAGTATACTGATATTCTATGCAATTTTTAAAAGTAATGTGTACTAATGTTATTCACCATTATATAATTTTGTCTTCTTAATCTGCCGTATGGTGTTGGTAATCATATGATTATCATAATTATTCAAAAAGTAATCTTCAAATATATTTAACTTTATACACCTACAATCTTTTATTTCTTTCTCTCAGTGTTCACGGGCTGTAAACTCTAGGACAACATTCTGGTTGCTTGTCCACTTGTGCACTATGGTCTTGCACCAGAAGTTAAGTTTTGCAAGCATATGTGTTTTACAAATTTTGCCAATTTGTATGCAGACTGTTGGTTCAGCGTCTCTCAGACAGAGATGTTTTTCAACTTCACAAGAAACACCTAATTACTTGCCTTTTATCACATGCTTGTTAGGCAGGGATGCGGGAGCAGTGTGACTATCCCCGCCCCCAACAAAGCCCCAGAACCCATACAGGTAACAATATTTTATAATTAATTTATAATTTATGCAATGTTAAATAATTAAATGTAACTGACCTGCATAAATATCCAATATTAAATTCACAAAAACTCTAGATATCCCAATTATAATACAGATAGGTTTAACAGCATACTGTTTAAATTACTATTACTACTACAAGTAATGCCAACAGATTTACAATACAAATGTCCAACATCCTCACCCTTGGTCTCCCCTCTGCCTCTTTCCCCTCTTAGCTTCCTGTTGTTACTACACTATTTTTCCCCTTCTCATGTACTTAGAGCATATGGTCTGTCTACTTTTATGTCATCAATTCTTTTTTTTTAAGTATATGTTTTGTAAGGCTGTACACATGTTCATGGTAGTCACTCTATAAAACCACTCATATTTAATTAACATTCATGATTGTTCTATTTGTCATCAAAACAAAAATAAGACTGCGCAGCAAGTCTGCTTGTGTGTGTTGTCATTCTTATTACTGAGTACAGGCAGGCCACAACAAAAAAAACATGGTGTGAGGGTGGAGATGGCACCTCAGTCCTCTTACAAGGGGAGGCTCTGCAAAATATGACGGCAATAGCGCGGCTGGTGCCCAATCGGTGGCGAATTGTCCGTGTCAGTAGCATCCACAGTCCATCGACTGTTTGGGCGCTTATAGGGAACTCCGGCGTCAAGAGTGCCACATCTAATGCTACACATAACCCTACACCTAACCCTAATCCTAACCACGCAAATTTATCGGTCATTAAAGCATACAAATCGGCAAAAACCAAACCAAAAAAACCAGATTTCCCCACAGCGTTAAAAAAAAAACCCAGATCTGGGGGACACAACCAAGCATTGGCAGCCCTGATGTCGACCTCACTGTCTTCTTTGATTCGTGACTTAACCGCTCCTTGTTTGCAATGCGGCCAAGGGAAAGAACTCCCACTGAGCCGGCCTAAGCCGTCCAGCTACCGACCTAAGCCGTCCAGCTACCGTATAAAGGTGAAAGGAGAGCCCAGTTTTGTAACTCAAAACATATTTTAGCTATGTTGCTTTTGTCAAATGGTAAGTTTAACATTATGTTTAACGAAAAGTTATTTAATACAAGGAACTCTTATTAAAATTATAAATATTTTTATTATTAATATTAATTGTTATTAACTCTTTGAGTCCCAAGGAACGCATCACGCGCTCATTTTTTACTACTTGGCGGCCCAAGCAGCGCATGACGTGTGACGGTTTTTAATTTACCACTTATCGGTAATTACACGCGAACCGCTCAATTTAAACTTCCTTTCCGGTTCTCAAGTGTGTAGTGAACACACGTGGAGTACATTCGTTTGGGTCTGGTGAGTTTCTAACGCTTTAAATCGATATTTGTGTGGTCTACTACGTTACCAAACAATTGTCTGGAAACAATATGTCCAATCTGTCATCGTCTTCACGCCCATCAAAGCGATTTACTGCTTTAGAATCATTAAATTTGATAAAACAGTGGATCGATTAAAGTAATGTGGAGTTGGATAATGATAGTAGAAACGTGAAATTTCCCCAAACTGTTGACAAGTCAAGTTTTGATGAGGATGTATGCGTAATTTACCTCCTGCTAAGAGGACAAAACTGACTAATTCTGCCTTGGCAACACAAGAGAAGCACCTCGTAAAGCGACACCAGCTAATCCAAATGTCAGCGCTTCTAGTACTACTATCCATATCATCCTAAACCATAGGTATATATCTATGAACAGATTGACATGTTTACAGTGCCTTTAGAGTTTTTTTCTATGTGAGGAATTCAATTGTTTTTAGAAAATTCACTGTTTGTGCCACTGGAGAATATATTTTGACGTGTTATGGTAGTGTTTTTAAAATTGCTATGGAACAACAACTCTTGCACATTTTGTTTTAATATTGGCTGTGCATACTTATAAGTGGTGTACCTTCCTTTGTGATGCATTTTGGATATACTATATCAAGAATTTTGGGATCAGCTTCTAGGTAAGTGGAAAAAACTTGTTCATAATTTACTCACCTCTCAAACTAAGTCACTGTTTTCTCTACTAAAAACTAACTAACGGTATAACTGTTTGTTGTAGCAGTATGCTAATATTAATCCGTATCCATTTATGTTTAATTTTATGTATGATATGTGTATGTTGGACATCAGCTGCAGTTGTGTGGCTTATTTTAAAGTGCTGCATTTGTTAAAAGTCAAAATCATATTACCCCCCTTGGGCCTCTGGTGCAAAATCCCCTGGGACTCAAAGAGTTAAGGTGTGCAGTAGTTAAAGTTAGCCGAGACTCCGCAAATTGAAATTAGCAACAGGTGGCACCTTTCTGAAAAATTAGATGCAACTTTTCGCCCTAGTTCTGACAAAATCATGTACATTGACTGTAGACACAGTAAACTGCATGTTTATTATCTGGATTAGTTAACAGTAAGTATGCTTAGCACACCGCGACCTCCTAGCATTCATTCAGCAACAAGGAAGTAACTCTGGATTATATTATAGTAGTTAGTAGAGAGATAAGGAGAACAGCCTGAACTCCATGAGTAATTCAAGTTAAAACAAAAGTTACCAAAGATTAAATAAACACAAGCTGTTCTTCATAAATCTTATAGATGAAAGAAGAAAATTACCTGTGTTTCAAATTCTTCATGAAAGCATCCAGAGATAACTCGTGTAACAAGACAAAGTCGCCGATGCCATACTCCGGACCTTCGTGTACGCCCGCCATGGTGGCTGTGTGAGAGAGATCTCGTCTGCTGCTGCAAGTTTTCACAACACACAGAGTGCAGCCAAACACTGGCCAGGTTTTCTCACAATTTTCACGTCAAATCTTCTCCTATTTTCTCCACGCAATTCTCGATGCGGCATTGTAGGGAGGGAGGACATTGGAGTTTTGTGTGAGAGATCTTAGGTTTTACCGACCTGTTGGTTCCTCGCCTCTCAAGCAGATGTACTCCAGAAACACACATGATTAATCGGCTTTGACAACATACGTTTTGATAGTGGGTGTATTATTTTGTCTCCCATAATAGGGCCCTGAAACCTACACGGTGACAATTGAAAACTTAAAATGCAGACAGTTTAAAATTTATATTTTTATTTCTTCTGTACCTCGCTACCACACGACCTAATTAAGTTTCACAAAGTATGCTATACATAGATGTGCTACAATGAGGGGAAACACTTCCACAAAGTGGCTAAACTTTTTTTTTCCTCTCCTCTTGCTTCTCTCCGCTTCCCATTCCCGACAATGCGTCTAACCACATTCTTCTGTTTTTATATATTAACAATCACTTCTGATGCAGATGCTCATGTGTGCCAACCTAAGATCTTTCTTGACCTCCTCTAGTATTTCTTTGATATCGTGGTAAGTTAAATTGTAATACCTGATAATGTATGACGCTACCCGTCATTCGCCAGCCTTCGGCCCAACTCTCGAACAGACATGAATTACTTAGCTTAAAACCTTTCCAGGATGGAAGATAAAGAAGAATTTAGGCTTAATAAGCAACAATTCAATATTCATTGCACAAATTGTTGCTGTTCTGAAGGTGCTAGACGTGGTGTAAATTAACCATCTTAAAGAACAAACCTTATAAAGACATCATACACTTGGAAGATGTAAAACGTGTTCTGAAAAGGGCGAAAGACACTGCGCCTTAGCCCGAAGTGGTTAAATATTCCCACATGAAAGACATCCGTGATGCAGATCTGTTGAAGATGACTGCTTGCTTCAACCAGAGCATTAGGACAGTTTCAGTCCTAGAAGAGTGGATGCACAGCTACCTTACTCCACTTCCTAAGCCTGGCAAGAATAATTCAAAGCGGGGGGGGGGGGGGGGCTTTAGGATCATAACCCTACAAAACACCTTTGGTAGAGTGCTGGAGAAGATAGTGGCGGGTAAGCTACAAGAATTTTTGGAACAGGGTAATCTCCTTCCATGAGGATTGGAAAGTTACCAGCCGGGGAAGGACACATTGTCAAATGCAGCCACTTTTGACTTTGATGCCTTTGAAGGTTTCCAGAAAAGGCAGGAAACGGCGGCAGCGGCACTCGATTTAGAAGACACTAACAACAGAGTCAGATACAGTATCTTGATGAAATCGTTTATGGAGAAGGGAATCTGTCGGTTGGAAAATTGGATAGCAGCTTTTTTGTATACTCGCCGGGTAGCTCTCCGCCCGGGTTCATGGACCTCTAAACCATGTACTATAGCTCCAGGACTACCAAAGGGATCTGCATTTTCACTTGTACTATTCAATATTTTTACGAGCAAGATTGCCTGCCTGTAAACACCTGGAGTTGTCATAATATTGACATTTGCAGATGATGTTCTTGTATACAGGAAGGGGAGAGATCGGAATAAAATAGCTGAAGAGTGACAGGCAACAGTAGATAAGGTGTTCGACTAGTGTACAAAGATGTGTGCTGTAATCAACCCAGAAAAAGCAACCGTCCTGTGGTGTTCTTTGAACAACAGGATTGTTAGAGCTGATGTTCCCAGTCTCAAAATAAATGGCAGGGATATCAAAAGAGACGGCAGACTGCGGTACCTGGGATTCATATTTCACAGAAGTTTATCTTTCAGGGATCATATAAAGGGGGTTGTGACAAGGGCTCAAAAAGGTATAAACGCAGATGTGGTCAAGGCTCTTTGGGAACAGGCAAGGAAATCAGTAGAGAAAGAAGATTAATATGGCCTGGAGAGAATGAGGCACCTGGGTGTAACCAGAGGGTCAGGCCGGCTGACTACACTCACATTCAGAGGAAAGGCAAGACGGTCTTTTAACCAGATTGTGACCGGTACCATCAGTATTGGAAATCTGCGCTGTCTGCTAAAGATGAGGACGGAGCATGCACGGGAATGCCCCGAGTGCTGTGATGTCAGTTCTCGACTCAACTCAACTCAACCGTACACAAAGATTAACTGTTTTAACGGACTCCCTGACTGTGTTTTTGATTTTTGAAAACACCAATATGTGTGGTAGAAATCACATCACAGAGATTTTCTTGGTTTCAACTTCATTTAAAAAAACAAAAAGAGATTTAGGTACTAATTATTTGGGTACTAGAACATATGAGAATTGGAGGAAATTAAATGACACACAGAGAAGAAAATGTCGGGCAGAGAAGAAAAAGCAGAACGAATAAAAATAATCTAACACATTTGTGTACCACCACACATGTGAATTGAATAATCTTAAATGGCAGACATATAAACAGAGCGGAACGAATAATAATATTACAAAACATGTAGCTGTAAATAAGGATAACGTTAAATCAGTAAGAATTAAAAAAGAAGAAGAAGAAGAATGGGCAGAGATGTGGAGCGAAAGGATAAAGGGAAGACATGCCTATACAAGTTTTTAAAGCGACAGCTACAAAATGTCAAATAGGCCTAATATGTTAACTAAAAATCCTCTGTAATAAGAAATTACTAAGGATGCAGCTGGGAGTTGCTTATTTCACTATTTCAGAAGACAAATAACCACACACAAAAATTATTTACTATAATGCAAGAAATATTAACTCCGTAGGACTTCTCTTAATAAATATATGATCCACTGCAATGAGCCTATAACAATACAAAACATTATGTAAATCCATGTTAGCATATGAGGTGTTAATAAATCGTTTGACGGAATAGTGGTATCACAAATCAGTTTAAATATCCACAAAGATGGACGAAATAGTGTAATTACTATAACTGTTTCATAGTACACCTAGAATGTATTGAACTTAACAGTCTATTCTCCTACGATGTTATACAATTAATACATAAACTATGCAATATTGAATAACCAAACATAATTGATAGGCATAACCATTCATCCTTGAAACAAACAAACAAAAAGCACTGTCTGTCTATCTACTTTTACCCCACCAGGACATCACACAAGCGATAAACACCCGATGACACAAAGTGCCATCATGCAGATGAGGATCACCATGGAGAGGTCCTAGAAATCGCGTATAGTCATTAGATCATATTTATGGCCGGGCTAAATTGCGGCCCCTGGCAAGAGCCAGAGAATGGCTTAAAATAACGAAAAATTGCATCCCACAAGGGGACGACAAGATGATATATCAAAAAAGCACTCTTTGTATCCCAACTATAACCCAGATGGTCTGAACAGCATATTGTTGTTTCAATTACTACTACTAAATAGACCTAATGCAATATTCCTCTAAAAACGCTGTTTATCTATCTTTTCAGGTGCACTGTTGATAAAATGCCTTTACTTTGGGGCATATTTGTGTTCGCGGTGTCACATGATCTATCCCTAATCAATGTGAACGAAAGATAATATATCATGGGACAACCAAACGACTGACAAAAGTAAAGGGAAACAGATCGAAATCTAAGTTTTCGTCTGCATCCAGTTCACTCAATTTTCTCAGTGTCAAAATAATGGATCTACCACTGATTTGATGTTTTAATTACCATAGTTGCAGGAAAAATGCCGCGAACAAAATCGCTTGATGTGGATTTATTGATCTTACCAAGGCATTTTATTTGGTTAGTCGAAAAGGTCTGCTCAACGCCCTGAAGAATTTTAATATCTTTTTTCGTCCTTTTTATGATGAAATTCTTTGTTATTTGAAGCCCTACTGTGGCTCTTGCCAGGGGCCGCAATATAGCCAGGCCATAAAAATGGCCTAAAGGCTGAACACGGTTTCTGGGACCTTCCACGGTAATCCTCAACCGCATGGTGGCACTTTGTGTCATCAGGTGTTTATCGCTTGTGTGATGTCCTAGTGGGGTAGAAAGTCATTTAGTCAGACTGAAGAAGATAATATCTGCTATCAAGTCATCTCCTTGTATGATGCAATTTTTCTCTATTTCGAAGCCCCAATGTGGCTCTTGCCAGGGGTCGCAATATAGCCTGACCATAAATATGGTCTAATGGCTGAACGCGGTTTCTGGGACCTCTCCACTGTGATCTTCATCCACTTGGTGGCACTTTGTGTCATCGGGTGTTTATCGCTTGTGTGATGTCCTAGTGGGGTAAACATCTCCTACTACTACTACTACTACTACTACTACTACTACTACTACTACTACTACTACTACTACTACTACTACTACTACTACTACTACTACTACTACTACTACTACTACTACTACTACTACACTGAAGAAAAGATACTATACGCCTAAATAAGTCACCTCCTTGTGAGATGCAATTTTTCGGTAATTTGAAGCCTCAACCTGGCTCTTGCCAGGGGCCGCAATATAGCCCGACCATAAATATGGTCTAATAGCTGAACGCGGTTTCTGGGACCTCTCCATGGGTGATCCTCATCCACATGGTGGCACTTTGTGTCATCGGGTGTTTATCACTTGTGTGATGTCCTAGTGGGGTAAAAATCTACTACTACTACTACTACTACTACTACTACTACTACTACTACTACTACTACTACTACTACTACTACTACTACTACTACTACTACTACTACTACTACTACTACTACTACTACTACTACTGAAGAAGATTAGGTGTCCACCTACTCTACTGAGCATTACTGACTGAGTTGTTCCACACAGGTATGAAAGATACAATCAACTTTGATGGTGTAACATCAGAGGAGTTTGTAATAAAAAATGGAGTTAAGCTGGGATGTGTACTTGCTCCTACCCTCTTTGGAATATACTTTTCACTTCTTTTGACACATGCCTCAAGATCAGAAGGGTGGTATATTCATTCATTCTCGATCTGACG